CTCTAAACAGTTTGCACATCACTACGTTCTGTTATATTACCCTATTACACAGCATTTCTTTTTAAATTAATCTTTTTTAGAAACAGGATCATACTAATATACAGTTGTGGTCAAAGGTTTACATCCGCTAATCACAGGAACAAATTTCACGGTCATTTTGGGCTTTCTGTTAATTTTTTGAACTGTTCTTTTTCCAGAATGGGATGCTTGTACAGCATCCATCTTTCAGCCTTGGATTATCTCTAACATTAGGCCAGTACAAGAAGAAACAGGCCCAGCCTGATATATGTACATATGATCACTTAAATACTTTAATAAGAGGTGCTGAATGTTCGACAGTGTCTTTTGACTTGACAAGGCCAAGGTCTACAAACTTCTCACATGATAAACATGATTTGTAGTTTTTGCTGGACAGCACTCACTGGACTGACCAATTCTTCCAAGAGGAGTGATACTTTGCCATTGTTCATAGCATCGGTCAATTCAAAGAGTGCTGTCAAGCAAATCCTTTCTTGCTGGCAAATAGAAACTACCAGCTGTAATCGATCATGGTTTTACCTTTCCTGCTGTGCTCAGGGGAAAGTCTTTCCGACAGAGGTGCGCAATGATTCCTGCTGCAAGGGCGTCACCAAGAACGTTGATCATGGTACGAAACCTGTCACTGCAGAGAGAAGGAAAGACAAAATGCCACAAGACCACCTCACCAAGGACTGATTCCATCCTTTGAAACCTGTGATTTTCCATAATCAGCACTTACAGGATCCAATCAATGGCTACGATTAGTGTGATGTCATCTGGTGGCAGGCCTACTGATGTGAGTACGATTACCATGGTAACCAGACCAGCCTGAGGAATCCCAGCTGCTCCAATACTGGCGGCTGTAGCTGTGATACTGGAAGACGGGGAGACATGAGGAGAGTTAGAGATCAAAACTGAAAGAACATGAGCAGACAGCAGGCTTCTTCAATGTTTATTATGTATTTTCATAAAGTTTTAAAAGGCTCCACTGGCTACAGGAGAGTATCATCTGTGTCTCCCATGCACACAGACTGGTTCTATACAGATAAAGTGAAAGTAACTGTTTGTCTCATTTTACCTGATGGTGACCAATTGGCCAAAGTCCAGCTCGTAGTCATTAACCTGAGCAATAAAGATGGCTGCCACTGCCTCATAGAGAGCTGTGCCATCCATGTTGATAGTGGCACCCACTGGGAGAACAAAACGAGCGATCTGCCGGTCCACATGACAGTTTTCCAGCAAACACTTCATGGTGATAGGCAGTGTGGCAGAGCTGTGGACAGGTGGCATTCAAACAAAAGATTAATAGGCCCATATTCTGTTTCGTATCTTCACTCCTCAGTTAGCGTTTAGCATATTTGCTATGAACCTTTCCAGGACTAACTAACTGAAGCGTAGGAAGCAGGTTAAAGTAGGGCTGACCTGGAGGAGGTTGCCAGGGCGATGACCAAGGCCTGCAGGAGGCCACGGATATAGCTGAAGGGGTTCTTCCTGGTGAGAAGGAAGTAGAAGAGAGGAAGGAGGACAAGTCCATGAACAAAGAGCCCGGTGAGCACAGTAACACCGTACCAGCCCAACTTCTTCCCCAGTGTGCTCGGATCCTGCATGTCCAGGATCTTCCCCGCCACCAAAAAGATAATCCCAAATGGAAAATACCTGGAAGAACAGAACATCATTATGAATCCTATAAGAGCTAAACGTGAAGTTTGTCTCGGAAGCTTAAGGCAAAACTTAAATGTTTTACATTCATTCCTTTCATGTTCATTTCACATATTTTTCATATATACCTTGTTCTTGAGTGGAGTTCAGATATCATTAGTTTATTTAGAATTATGAACATAGATTTCTTGAAGTCCACTGAGCATCATTTTAGAAAATTTGATCGGGTTTTGCAAGAAAGAGTTACTATATTAAAATAACTCGCAAAATATTTTTCAATTTAAAAAATGTAGAAAAAAACAGCCTCTCCCATTTAAGATCATCTTCTCAGGAACCTCGTGACTGTTCTTCTCCCATTTTTTGATCATTCCTTAGAAGTCCTGTACTGTTGGTGAGAATGGTTCTGGTTGCGTGTGCTCTCACCAACAGTAGCATTCTTTGAGGGTTGATTCAGATTTAGGTGTATACATGCATACAGAATAAAACCTGTAGAGCTGCATCTGTTTGTGTTGAGCGTTAAGGTTTTAAAGCCTTGCTACAGTTTTAAA